AGAAAGTTATTGAGGAAAGCCTACGAGTTCCAGAATCCACCAGCTAACTTCCTCTTGGGATTTGAGGTGTTGTAGTCCAGAAAAATAAATTTTCCCAGCTCTGTTCTGGATCCAACTTGTTACACTGGAGGTTTTTAAGCATGCTGGGACGTCCTCATAGGTTGGGTGCTTTTGCTCTACATTTCCACCTCAAACAGGAGGTTGACACTAGATGACCCTACAAGAACCGGCCAACGAGGGTGTCCCATATTCAGTGACTTTAATAGATCCTATTATTTATGCACGCCGGAGGCACAGATGACAAACTGAATAAGCATAAATCACAGACATGAACGGACTGTAGTTAAGAAGTCGACATTTCTGTTCCTCGTCCCAAACCAAGTCACATGTGTGACGTACGACAAGGAATATGGTTGATTTCTTAACTAGTAACAATTTGCTGCTGCTGTTTATGCCCTTTGACTTTGCCGTTGCGATTTATGCCATCCATGTACATAAACAATTGGATTCATGCCTTTGTCTTTTTAAAAAAAAAACAAAACAAAGCACAGCCACAGTGACTCAGAAAGCAAAACAGCAATCAAAGGTAGAAATTAATACAAATCTCAAACAGTCGGAGCCAGTAAATCTTTTTACGAGGCAGCACTGAAACACCAATTTAAAGAAAATAACGATCTGACGGCGGAAGGCAGCTGGCCTTCCTCCGTCCTGAAGAACAACAGATTGCATGTTGAAAGAATTAAAAACAGCCACGTCTTCAGCAGCTGCCTGCACCAACCCATGTAAGGGGGTGGCTAGACCAGCAGGCAAGGGCCGCGGAGACTCAGCCTCAAAACCCTCACCTTAGCCAGGAAGCCTGAGCCAGTCACTGTTTTTCGGGCTCTCCTACCTCGCAAGATTGTTGTGAGGATGCTATTTCCTCCCTGTTGCTCCCCTGCCACTTTATCCCTCTTTCCTCATCTCTTTCTTCCACCCTCCGAGACCCCTCTTCCCTTAGTCCCTCTTGCTTCTTTCCATCATCCCCCTTCCATCTCCCTGAATTCCCTCCCTCTCTTTTCCCCTTTCGATCTCCCCTTATCTACCCCCCTCTCTCCCCCCACCCCTCCCAGCAGGCCACGAGGGACTCATCGCTCTTGCCCGGAGATTTGAACCCGAGGCTTGGGTGCTATCTGTAGCCATGGAAATACGAGGGGGAAACTAGGTGATTAATTTGCAGTGTAAAAATAAGCAGAGTCTATCCATGGGAAACGCCAGTGCATGGAAAAACTCATATTTGTTTGCACCCACAACCCCCCAGAATCTGGCCCGTCCAAACCAGCATGGATAGTGACCCTGTGGGCCGGGCGATCTGGGAGGTGTTGCTCAGAAACACAAACGTAATTTTACCATTCCCAGGTGAACAGGGGACTGTGGTGGCTTTTTACACAGGGACAATTGGAACCCGGGGAGAAGCATCCAGTTATCTCAGTGATTCCCAACCTTGATCTTCTCGGACTACAACTCCCAGAGGTCTTCACCACCAGCTGCGCTGGCCAGGATTTCTGGGAGTTGTAGTCCAAGAACATCTGGAGACCCAAGGTGGGGGAACCACTGAGTTATCTGAAAGGTGCATTATATAAGGAAAGGTGGCCAGAAGTCAAGTGCTTCTAAAGCAGGCCCTTGCTAAGCCTTATTTCTCTCATATAGGGCAACTCCTTCATTTTTTGGGGAGGGGGGTTAACAACCCATTAAAATACCCACTTCTTTTTGCCAGGCCTTCTTCTGCTTAGCAGCTTGTTTGCTTGATGCTTGCAATTCCACCCCAATAACCCAAATTAAGGCCATCTGGCTTTTTGTAGGGATTCCAGAATAAGCGTTCTGTCGCGCCCATTCTGTTGACTGGATAGCTCAGTGAGTTGGGTATGTGGCTGTGGAACTAGATGTTGGGAGTTGGATTCACTCACGGGATAGCTCAGTGAGTTGGGTATGTGGCTGTGAAACCAGATGTTGGGAGTTGGATTCCCCCCACAGGGCCTCCAGGGAGAAGAGCCAGCCTGGATGGCCTTGGGCCAGCTGCAGAGTCCCGGAGCAACCTCCAGAAGAAGGGAAGGGCCAGCCACTTCTGGGGAAATTCAGCATGCTCAAGGACATCCGGGGAACCCTGAAACGGGTTGCCATAAGTCAGAATTGGCTTGAAGGCATATGATGATTATTCTTAATGCCTGCTTTTGGCAATAAATTCAGGGGAGGTGTATATAGTTTGAAATAAAATACGGTATTCCAGTGTAATCTTAAATGTGAACTATGGAGAGGTCATCGTACTTATTGCTTCCTTAATATATAGAAAGACAGGATAGAATTATCCTACGATTCTTAGCAAAGCGCCTTTGTTTTTCCTTAAATCTCTAAATTGTGCTGCAATTTATCTAAGAAAAAGACTGAAGATGAAAATTGAAAGAGTGGTGGGTTGTGTTTTTTTTTCAAGTTTGATAAGGATTTTGATCCCGATTCTTGAAGTTCTGAGCAAAATGAGGAGGAGAAGCCATTTTGAAGGGGGGGGGGCATGAGATTTTTATCCTTGTCAAAGACTGAGGCATGGATTTCTTAAAAACAGAAAACCATTAGTTGAGGGGGGAAAAAATAAGGAGAGGAAAGCGGAATGCGAAAGTTGGAAATCACAAGTTGAAATTGTCTTGTGCAACCTTATCCCACACAGGAAGAATGATGTCCTAATCCCCCAACAATGACATCCAATTTAATGTAAATTAATGTAAAGTTTCGTAATTGCAACCCCCTCCCCTTTAGGGTTCTGAGGTTCTCCCTAGGGCTCCTTTTCAATCTCGGCAAGCCTCAGGACTGGGGGGGGGGAGCTTTTAATATCTAAAAATCGGCAGCAGATTGCCGGTGATATCACCCGATAGCCCAGGAGCAGTAATCTGGCAGCACATTTTGGCAACTGCAGGCTAGAGATGTAACATTTCCGGAAAAAAACCCAATTTTTTTCTGGGGGAAATTGGGGGAAGTGGGTTGTTTTTTTCCCCAGAAAAAAAATGAAAATTTCAGGCCATTTCATATATCTGGCAGCACATTTTGGCAACTGCAGGCTAGAGATGTAACATTTCCGGAAAAAAAAACCCAATTTTTTCTGGGGGAAGTGGGTTGTTTTTTTCCCAGAAAAAAATGAAAATTTCAGGCCATTTCATATCTCTGGAGATAATTTAAATACATAAAGACTCAGATGTCTTTCATCAAGGTCTTGGTGTTATATATTTTGAATACCATGTCATATACATATTCTATATCATTGTAAAAGAACATATTCCGCACTCTGTATTTCTTTTTTCAATTTTTTTTTGGGGAGGGGGATGGCTTTGGAGGAAAACTGTTGGGTTTTTCCCCCAGGTTTTTTTCTCCAAACCTTCCCATCTTTATTAAAGACTTCCTCCCACATTGCTGGGCTCCCAAAGTCTTCTGAGGTCAAAAGGGAGCCACAAGGAACCTCATAATCTAAAGTGGGGAGAGGAAGCTTTCGATTAAATTACGTTACTGTCATAAGATGGTGACAGTCTCCTACTTGCATGGTGGAAAGTTTTGCTAAGAGGATTTGAACCACCTGGTCTTACTCACACACAAGCACACCTCTAGAAGATTTCCAGTTACTTGGAAGTCCCTTAATCAGCTATGGACTGTGGAGTTGGGGAAAGCTAAGAAAATGGGACTTTTGCCCCAACGCTGCCCTTTGAGAAAGCAGAGAAAAATACACAACTTCACAGCTACATCCATGTACTGTGTTTAACCGCAACACTCCCTGTGGAAGATTTTACGCTAGCTGCCCCCAAACCTCTTGATGTTGCACATTACTTGGCAAAAATTATCTGTTTATTAATTAGGGTGCATCTTAACAAAGAAAGTAAGTGAAAGACGAAGGACTCAAACAGGCGTTAGAATAGGTTGGAAGAGAAACTAGCCAGGTCATGGGTTTGAGAGCTCAACTCAGCTGTTGATTACCATATTTTTCCTTCTATAAGACACCCCCATGTATAAGACATCCACCCCCACTTTTCTAATCTAAAATTAAGAAATCTAAGTGGGGCTTAGAAAGTGTAAGAGGAAAGGGATCAAAGCGCTGCAGGATCGCTTTGATCCCTGCATTCCCCTCCACTTGTTTTTGTTCTCTCCTCAGCTTACTCCCGTGTATAAGTTGACCCTCAATTTTTAGTCTAAAGATTTTAGACAAAAGTATAGTTTTATACATGGAAAAATATGGCACTGCGTCTTCCTGAATCTGTTGACTTTCTTGGTATTGGACTGGCCCCAGCAATTGTGTATCATCACTTTCATCATCCTCACTACCACCCTCATCTTAGAAATGCAGACCTGGAAGGGACCCTCTGGTCCAGCCTTTGTTAAGGAGACTTAGTGGGGGTTTGAACTCCCAGCGTCAGGCTTCGCAGCCAGAGACCGCCAACCACAGAGTTATCTAACCAAGTGGCCTCCATCTCTCTTTCTCTCTCTTCCTTCCATGTCAGGTCACCCTTGTGTTGAACGGAAGAGAGACACGGAGTTATGCAGAAGGCTAAAGGCTGAGATGGGAGACTCTACACAGACTAACCACAATTTAAACACAAATAACCTTCTCCACTTAGAAGTCATTTCAGTGGATGAAATGGCAATTTAATCTACCAGGGGGGCACAGTGGCTGTTGGATTCTGGGAGTTGTGGTTCAAGGAAGGAAACTTTTTGAACTCTGCTGCAGATTTGCTTCACAAACAGAAGACAGAGGGATGGAGCAAAATTAAATCTAAATTCAAAGTATTTGTGGTTCTCACTGTGGCTATGAGCTCAGGAAGGAAGGAAGGAAGGAAGGAAGGAAGGAAGGAAGGAAGGAAGGAAGGAAGGAAGGAAGGAAGGAAATGAGTTAGGGAGGGAGGGAAATGGTGCAAAATTAAGTTTAAAGATAAATTCAGATATTTTTCTAGAATTGAGCTATAGAGGCAGACAGACAGAGACAGACATCTTACCATGCTGGAGTTCTTCACCTTCTCTGCCCACCGACCCACACAATTACTATTGTCCCTCTATATATAGCATCGTTTGGGAGTGAAAAATACACTCGCTCCAAGTTTAGACAATGGATGCAAGACTGGAGAAGCGCAGCAACTGTACTCCGATGCCATTCCAGACATTTTATGCTCCTTGGCAGGTTGGCTTCCATGGAATTAGCACATTATAAGTAGAACAGGAAAGCTGAAACCAAATGAGGTGGGCCGAATCACATTTGCAGGTGGGAACAAGCTTTTCAGAGCTGTGCCTTGACCCCTACCAATAAAAACAACAACTGTTCACCATTGCAATAATTTTTACTCCTGTGCACAGAAAAAGACCACAGACCATCACATTAGCAGTAGCAGCAGTAGCAAAGCAAAGCAAAAGCCACTTTGTGCCTGCCAAAATTGTGTTTTGTAAGTACAAAAAACTTGGTGTTTTTTTCTGTCCAAAGCCATGCCTTTTGCACAAAATGTGACAGCTTTTGCTAATCACATTGGTGTGCAAAATGCCAAGTTTGTGTGCAAAAGTCTGTGTTTCCCTCCCCTCTTTTATTTTGCAAAAAAAGTCCCCAAAATGTGAAAACTGCACAAAAAACTCTCCTAAGGCCACCCAAGTAGGGCCAAAACTTCTGAAAAGTTTTGCTGTCAACTCTGAGAGTGAAGAAAGCAAAAATCGATGTCCCAGCTCCAAATGCTACTAGACTGGAACTGCCCTGGTCCCTTACTATCGGCCAAGTGTATCACATCATAAGATGTGAGGAATGGTGTAGACTGTGTAGAAAGAAAAGAACAGGAGTTGAAGAGGAGAAGACAAAGGCAATGAAGACAAAAGCAATGAAGACAAAGTCAATGAAGACAGTGACAGAGATGACAAAGATGGTGAAGAAAACCAAGGCGGCAACCAAGATGGCTAAGGAACTTATCATTCAGAAATCATGTCTGTTTATCACAGATAGAGGACTGCATTCTGCTTGTGGAAAGAGAGGAATCTGAAATGGAAAGCATCCATTATTCCAGGGGACTCTTCCTGCAAGTGGAGATAATGGTTTTTCAGGGTCTTGACTCACACAAAGAGTCCTCATCTCTTGGGACTCCTTGCTTCCCATGTATAGGAAAGCAACCAACACCAAAAAAGAGGAAATCAGGGCTGGCACACTTCCTGCCCAATTTCTGAACAACTGGGAAAAAAATCCTGCCTTTGAAAGCTCGCTCTCCTTTTTGAATAACTTCCGAGTCAGAAAACAGACAAGAAAGGAGAGAAAGGTGGATAAAAGGATTTTTTTTAAAGGGGGGGAGGCGAAGGGAGGCTGTTTATTTAATTGCCCTAAAAATTTCCATCATTCAGTTGGGTAATTAGAGAGCTAACTGATTCAGCCAGCAATTTCCTTATAATACTGACATGTGGGGTGGGGGGTGATGAAGAAAGGATTGAGTAGGGAGTAAAATAATTGATGCTGAGTATTTCCCTTGAAATATTAAATAACAAATTTTATGCCTAGCTCCAGGGTCTTCTCTATTACCTTTCCCAAGTCTCTGTTTTCCTTTCTTCCGCAGCTGATTTGCATTTTCCCTTCGTAGGGAAAATAGGTCTGAAAGCATTAATTGATTAATGATGCATGGATGGGTCCCCCCCCTCCTCCCTTGTAAAAGGCATGTTAGTCTCTTACAGCTGGATTGGAAAAAAACTAGAACGGTATTATTAGAAAAGGAGGTGATACTTCATTGTAGGATAAAAATGTTCTCTCAGCAGGAAATCTGAAGATATTGTTCAGGATTTTGCTAAAATGGAACCTCCAAATCATTGAAGTCTTTCTCAACGTGGTCTACCTAATATCGGACTGCTGTTACAAGAATGAAGTGGAGAGGCAGAGGAATGCCCCCCATACATCACCTTGAGCCCAGTAGAAGAAAGGCAAGCTGTAATTGTAACTTCCAAAAAATATATAGGGAAAAAATTAAATAACTAATGGAAAAGACCTCTCTCTTAGTAGAACATGAGATATCTGATCTTGGTTAGATAAGACTGGGTTAGATGGACAAATACCGCTTCTTCAAAACAATGCATTTGCTCTCCAAGACAGGAGGGCCTGGCGTGCTCTGATCCATGGGGTCACGAAGAGTCGGACACGACTAAATGACTAAACACACACACACAGATGGACAAATACTGCTTGATGTAACATAGGCTTCTTCAAAACAATGCATTTGCTTTCTGTACTATATCTGGCTCAGCCCTGATCTTATTGGTAGGATTACCACCATCCATTCGCCATTTTCCTCGTTTCGCTTGGCACAGGGACATTTTCTGTGGCTTTCTGTTACTTTTCATCCCTCCTGCAAGCACTGTTCATCTTTAGTATCCGCTTTAGCGCTATGGCACTCCCATTTGAAATTGATGTTCGATGCGGGTTTCAGAGTAGTGTTGTCCTTTTCTCTTCTTTTTTTTTAAATTTTCTAAAGAAAAAGGTTTCTTTTCAAGAGAAAGTAATGTTTTTACAAGGAAATCTTGGATGCACATCCCAGTAAGCTGTGCACTCTCTTGCAACCAAGAAAAACAGGCAGAGCATTTCCTTCCTCTCAAACATCTCCATGTAGACGTTCTTTTCCACTGTATTGATTTCCAGGAGGGCGGACATGCTAAGAGTTTTGGGAGCACCCAGGATTTGAGGTCCGTGGGCCCAGAGCTCTATACCCCTTGACCTTGAGAAAGAGGAAACCTCTCCCCGCTTTGTCTTGGGAAGCACAGTATCTTGGGTTGGCCCTGATTTCACTCTATACATCTGACAAATTGAGCAGAAGTTTATGCGATGGTCAAATGAGTCAGTGCTTTAAGGTTCCACAGGATTCACAATACAATAGTTCTTTAACTGGTTGTGTTGAGTAGAGCGTTGGGCAGGATGCACGGTCCCAGGAATTGTCCCTCCCCCGCCCGCAGGAGAAGGGAATGGTAAACCACTTCTGAGTGCTTTCTAGCTGGAAAAACCCTAAAAAGGGTCTCCCTGAGTCAGAATTGGCTTGAGGGCACAGGATGATTGATCATTCTAAAGACACCATGAGAAGACACTTCCTGAGGAAATGCATCCTCATTGTCCATCTCTTGCTGCAAAGGTGTAAGGCTGTAGATGTTGCTGATGAACTCCTTCCTCCAACATATCGCAGCCAACTGCTTGAGACTAGGGATGGGTTTTTTTAAGATCTTGGACTACAAATCCCATAATGTCCTGTTCTAGGAGTTCCAGTTTACACCTAGATGTGGATCCGCTGGGAGAAAAGGCCTACACTAGAAGGTTGTGAGCCTTAGCTAGGCCTAGCTCTGCTCAAGCTTCCTGTTCCTGCCCCAGTGTGAGCTGGCCTGTTCCTGCCCCAGTGCGAGCTGGGAGCATTCTTCCTGAACAGGAAACTAGGTGAAGCTGGGCCTAGCTAAGCCTCGAAGTCCAGATTAAGAGCTTTCTTCCTGAACAGGAAACTAGGTAAAGCTAGGCCTAGCTAAGCCTCGAAGTCCAGATTAGGCCTTTTCTCCTAAACTGGAGAAAAGGCCTAACCTGGACTTTGAGGCTTAGCTAGGCTGTGAGGTTCTGTGAGGTGTGTGTAAATTGGGTAGAACTTCCAGAATGAAGCATTTCAGAATTCTAGTGCAAGAAGTCAAAGTGTCCCGGTCTTACGTGAGGCAACTGCCTCACTCTGCCTAAGGGTAGGGCCGACCCTGGACGAGCTGTCTTTTGAGTATGGGTTCCCTCCATTGCTGATCTTCTCATCTTGCCACAGAACCCCAGGAACACTGCAAGGACATTATTTGGGAAACCCCATTAAACCAGAGACCACACGCTAGCTGGGGAGTTCTACAGTCCAAGCATGTCCGGCCGTGAGTTTTGCCCCGCGCGCAGGTTCCGGATGCTGCTGCCACCACCACACTGTCATGATGTTTCGGTTGGTTGTGGGTTGTTACAACTGCCCCACCGTTGGAAAGCCGCCTTGTGCCTGTCTCTTTGGCGGTAGGTGCAGAGCTACCGTATCGGATTTGACAAACATGGCACTCCCGCTCTTCCGCCCAGGTCACTTTCGGTTCCTTACAGCTGGCTGCACTGTGTCAAGTGGAATAATTTGTCATGAATAAACAGCTCGCTAATCCGCACCAGCACTGGGGAGCAAATGACATAATCCGATGTGGCCATGGGAGAAGAATGCAGTTGTGCATTTATGTTTGTTACACGTTTACGATGGGGAGGGGGTGGGCAAAGCGCGGCCTTTTGACTGTGTGGGGGTCTTCCCAAGATCCTCCCAGCCTTCTTCCAGCAAGCCAGTGGGTAGCAGCGCATGGAAGATGCACCTTTTAAATAGGTCACATCTCCCCCGCCCACCTTCCAGCTTGGAACATCCCGAAAGATCAATGTTGCATAACTCCCCATCTCATGTGTTATATTTTAGGGGGATTTTTGTTGTCTGCACAGCCCACAAAGGGTCCAAGAGGCGGAAAATTTTGGGAGTTTTTACAACCTCGCAGGCTGCCTTTTTGAAGGTTTGGCAGGGAGGGGCCTTTCTGGGCTCGGTGACTGTCAATTTATTCAGCACTAACCAATCGTTCCTTCCCTGCCTCTGAATTCAAAGAAAGTCCCGCCCTTCTGCTCAGGGCCTCCCCCCCACACACTGACTCTGTTGACATTGGGTAGGCTGTTGAAATCTTGCTGAAAGCAGTCATGATTCTCAGTTTGCTGTTTGATCTGTTCAGCTGTAAGTAATGAAACCTTTTTTATTCTTTCTCCTATTAATGTCTGAGAGTGAGCTATTGAGACTGTAGGTGCCAGTTAATGAGGAAAAGGGATAGACTGCTGTGGGGGAGCTTGAAGCTACTCTGCTCTCTGCATCTGTGTACCTCTGCTGTGCAGCTAGAGGAATTTAACCAAATATTCAAAAATCTGCAATAGAACATTGGCTCCAAGACCAGCTAAAGTTGCCCACCCAGGACTTTGGACAGTATTCTGTTATGGAATTGGACCGGACGATTCAACAGTATTCTCATAAACGTTGACCTACATGTGGTTGCAAAGGGTCTGCTCTTAGTTGAA